CCATTTTGGATTTTTCCATCGTCTGTAAAGTCTTGTCTACGCGTTTTCAGGTGAACTGTTTGGTAGATCAATTTCAAATTTTCAGGGATGATTCTTAGTATGAAAATCTAGATCTGATTAGTTTTTTTTGCATTCTGGGTAAATGTCAAGGCAGCCATTTTGTCTGTAAAGTCTTGTCTACGCGTTTTCAGGTGAACCGTTTGGTAAATCAATTTCAAATTTTTAGAGATGATTCTTGGTATGAAAATCTAGATCTGATTAGTTTTTTGGCATTCTGGGTAAATGTCAAGGCAGCCATTTTGGATTTTCCATCTGTAAAGTCTTGTCTACGTGTTTTCAGGTGAACTGTTTGGTAGATCAATTTCAAATTTTTAGGGATGATTCTTAGTCTGAAAATCTAGAGCTGATTAGTTTTTAGGCATTCTGGGCAAATGTCAAGGCAGCCATTTTGGATTTTTCTGTCCTAAAATCTTGTCTGTAAAGTCTTGTTTACGCGTTTTCTGGTTTACTGTTTGACAGATCAATTTCAAATTTTCAGGGATGGTTCTTAGTATAAATATCTACAGCTGACTAATTTTTTGGCATTCTGGGTAAATTTTAAGGTGGCCATTTTGCATTTTCCGTCCCAAAATTGTAACAGTAAAGTCTTGTCTACTCATTTTCAGGATAACCATTAACGGGATCACCCATTGGTGAGGACATATTGTACACATTTGTGTTCTTGTGTTACATTGATGAAAGTCCATTATATTACCAATGTATGTTACTTTTGATGACTTATGTCAATGTAACAAAAGCTAAATGCATGAATTACAGCTTTATTTAAAAATCTAATTCCAAACCGAGAGCATATCTTAAAGCTAGACTGCTGTAGATTGGGTTAATTTAGCACCCGCTTTAATTTGGCGAATTTGGTGAAATTGAAAAATTCCCCAATATATATCTTCGCCAATTATCTAGGGTATTTCGTCCAGTGTATTTAGGTCACTTCCAGTTTAGTTTTTTCCAAAAATATGACAAAATGTCTCTCATAAATTGGCTCAGAACTGGTCAGTCACTCATTAATACTCAGGGAAAACTAGAAAGGAAAAGTGCAGTATAGTAGCAGCATCGATCGAGGTGCAAAATGTAAAGGATGATCTTACAAAAATGTACAAACGTGGTGAATATCGCCAGTGGTCCTCAAAAGAAAAAATGAACATAGCCAAACATGCCCATTGGTAATTCGCAAACAGTGTGTAAGTTTAACATTGCAGAGAGTAACATAAGAAGGTTTAAAAACTCCTACCTTCAACTGATGAAACATCATGAGGATGATGAAATATCTGAGGACAGTTTTTATCGCACATTGTAATCAGTTTGCCTGGCGGTTGGGCGGGCGTCCAGAATAATCTTGTCTACAGGTTTCCAGCCAAACCGTTTGAAATTCTCAGGGATGTTTCTACCTTTGAAAGTTTAGAACTGATTAGTTTTTCGGCATTCTGGGTAATGGTAAGGTGGCCATTTTGGATTTTCCGTCCTAAAATCTTGTCTGTCAAGGCTTGTCTACAGTTCCAGCCAAACCGTTTGAGGGATTCATTTGAAATTCTCAGGGATGTTTCTACCTATGAAAGTTTAGAACTGATCAGTTTTTCGGCATTCTGGGTAAATGTTAAGGCGGCCATTTTGGATTTTCTGTCCTAAAATCTTGTCTGTCAAGGCTTGTCAACAGGTTTTCAGCCAAACCATTTGAGGGATTCATTTGAAATTCTCAGGGATGTTTCTTCATATAAAAGTTTAGAACTGATTAGTTTTTTGGCATTCTGGGTAAATGTTAAGGCGGCCATTTTGGATTTTCCGTCCTAAAATCTTGTCTGTCAATTGGCTTGTCTACAGCAGGGCTTGCATTAACGGCGTCCCGTACATGTTAAGGACTCAAAAATAATTTGGAGGACGCAAAAATATTTCAGTTTTTTGGACGCAATTTTTTTTTTAGGTCAAAATCGCTTCAAACCCCAGTTACGCCAGTTCAAATATTGAGAAAAAAAAATTGAGAAAAAAATTGCCGGTCCAAATGATGAGAGATTTTGCTGACACATGAGACAAATCAATTAAGTTTGACATATCAAATGAAAGAATATAAATTGGCCTACCTTGTGAAGGCAAAATCTAAGTATAATAGGCAGATAATCAGCAGTGTTTTACAGAAACACTGAGATAATTATCTTACAATAATCTGGCCACCATGCATTTTTATTGACCTACTCTCAAAACCAAAACATCATTGCTTTGAGACTAATGGGTCAGTAGCAAAAAACCTTTATCACTGTCCTGCCAACTTTCAATGGATAAAACAAAGGGGTACACCCCAGTTGTCCAAAACCCAGTTGTCGGAAACCCAGTCCGAAACCCAATTCTCCGAAATAAAATATAGTCATCATTTACCAAAGAAAGGGGGGACAAAAATCTCTTTTATATATGCAAAATAAAATGAAACATTGAAACAGATAAAATAAGTTAACGCATAGAACTTTAAGAATAAAACAGTGTCAAAATATTTCGTCGCATTTAATTTCTTAGTCTCTGTCTTATCAAATCGTAAAAGAACAAAACATTCCGTATTTGTTTGACAATAATCAGAGAAAGTACGTATAGGTATAAATGGGTGTGACTTCAATTTCTTGTCTGTCTGAGGAGGTATTGAGAATGAGGTAGAAGTTAGTTAAAGAATTCTTATGAACGAGTCATGCAAGATACTAGAACTAGTAAAGTAATTTATTGGATAAGTTGATTTCTGATGGATCTGGATAAAATATGTTTCAAAACTTTGTAAATACTAGATAACTACATTTAGGCAGATATAATATCTTGATATATTTGGCTGTCATGCGTTTAAATAATACGATTCTAAAACTATGAAGACGTTAGGGGAGAAATATTGCTATCGTACGTTCGAAAAGTATTTGGTTGTATTTTGTAGTTCTCAAGTTACCCATGAACTTTCGTAGGTTGAACATTAAATAATTAACGTCTTGACTTAGTATATTTAGCCCAATTTTGCAATGATTGATGTCAACGTGATTCCAATGTTAAGTTGTCGTGATTCGTGTGACAAGATTCGTTTTAAGACATTGTATTTTTAGATAAGATCCCCTAATTTTCGGAGAACGGGGTTTTGGACAACTGGATTTCGGAAAACTGGGTTTCGGAGAATTGGTTTCGGACAACTGGGTTGACCCCAAAACAAACACTATAATCAATACAATTGATCCTCTTGGCATTATCTCACATCATAGTAAGGAAGCACAAAGGGCAACATTTGAAAACAAATAAAATATTACAAGTCAAAAATGCATATCAAACTATTGAATGTTGATCTTTATATTTCATTGAAATTAATAATGTGTCCGAAAGGAATATTGAGTTATTATTTACATCAGAGTGAGGAGGAACAAGGGGCAACCTTGAAAAACACAAAGTAATTAAGAAGTCAAAATGAATTAACAATCAATTATGTATTGATCTGCTTTATTGAGATCAATTGCTCATATACAATGTGCATTAAGTGACAGGAATATACTGATTTTTTTATCATTTAACATCACAGTGAGAAAGCACATGTCGAATGGTCGAAAAAAATTCAGCCTGTTGAAATTGCCAAAAGGCCTGTTGAAAAAATATTTATTGAAACCCCTGCGGTCAATACTACAATGTGTTTACAACGATACCTAACAAAAACAAATAATTATGATCTCTCACCTTTATTTGAATTGTAAATAAGGCTCAACATGTTGAATATTTACAAATAAATATGATTCTCTCGGATTTTTTCGACTTTGTTTATTTTTAGATTTGAAACCCTGACACGCAACAGTTTTTCCTATTCAGAAACAAATATTAGGTTATTCATGAAATAAAATGTATTCATTGTCGAATGAACGAACATGCATTTATTCAGTCCGTACTTAACGTTTACTTCCGTTTTAAATTCGCGGCAAGAAATCAAAAACTGAAAAATAAGGGACACACTTTTTTTTCAAAGGACACACTTTTAAAAAAAATTGCGTCCTTGGGACTCACAAATTTTCTACCCTAATGCAAGCGCTGCTACAGGTTTCCAGCCAAATCGTTTGAGGGATTCATTTGAAATTCTCAGGGATGTTTCTACCTATAAAAGTTCAGAACTGATTAGTTTTTCGACATTCTGGATAGATGTTAAGACGGCCATTTTCGATTTTCCGTCCTAAAATCTTGTCTGTCAAGGCTTGTCTACAGGTTTCCAGCCAAACCGTTTGAGGGATTCATTTGAAATTCTCAGGGATGTTTCTACCTATAAAAGTTCAGAACTAATTAGTTTTATGGCATTCTTGGTAAATGTTAAGGCGGCCATTTTGGATTTTACGTCCTAAAATCGTGCCTGTGAAGGCTTGTCTACAGGTTTCCAGCCAAACCGTTTGAGGGATTCATTTCAAATTCTCAGGGATGTTTCTACCTATAAAAGTTTAGAACTAATTAGTTTTTTGGCATTCTTGGTAAATGTTAAGGTGGCCATTTTGGATTTTTCGCTCTAAAATCGTGTCTGTGAAGGCTTGTCTACAGGTTTGAGGGATTCATTTGAAATTTTCAGGGATGTTTCTACCTATAAAAGTTTAGAACTGATTATTGTCATGCAAAAATATTCCTGTTGAAAAGTTAAAAAAGTGATTGCCGATATAGCAAAAAACCGAACGCTGAAAAAACGAACGCTTTCATTCGAAGTTTTCACGCGGATACCGTATATGTCACGCATTTTCCGCGAAATATTTCGTTCCTCCCAAGTTGTTCCCAAGTTGACAGGCCTGCTATATTGTCTAACTTTGTGCTAAATGATAATCTGCAACTTGACTTCTAAGTAGGTTTAAATCGAGAAAACAAAAAACTTGTATTGAGGAAGTTCATCAAAGTAACTAGTTGAGGAACAGTGATGATGACCCTCATCAGAGAAACCTACAGCATACAGTAAACTCATAGTTCTGATTTAAAGGTTTACATCTGCCATGACAAGTCCAGACAAAATGAAGAGTCTTTTCCAAGACTTGGGAAAACCGACAATGAGAGGAGTGCGCAAGTGTCCAAATTGTGGTATCTTCAATGGTACTCGTGGTGTTACATGCAAGAATAAACAGTGTGGGATGGTATTTAAATCATCTGGGAAAAGAAAGAACAACAACATTGATGCTGTGAAAGTCATAACAGGTAAAGGGCAGATGATCACTTTGATCAGTCATTGTTTTTTCATCAGTGCTCAGGCTAATTATAAATTTTCTCTAAGTTATAGCCACCTTTGAACATCTTATGATCTACCCCTTCAAGCTCAATAAATTTATCTGACGTGAATAAGATCACACCATCAAAAACCCTTCAAAATCAGCTCTAGAACTTGATATCCTTCATCATGTGTGCGAATTTGGAGGAAATCCGATGGGTAGTTTTCCTGAAATCGTGATGACAAGATTTATCGTAAAACCTTCAAAATGGCCACAAGAAAACAAGATGGCTGCCCAAAAATTAATCAGCTCTATAACTTGATATCCTCTGTCACATGTGCGAATTTGGAGAAAATCCGATGAGTGGTTTTCCTGAAATTGTGATGACAAGATTTATCGAAAAAACCTTCAAAATGGCCACTAGAAAACAAGATGGCTGCCCAAAAGTAAATCAGCTCTAAATCTTGGTCCTCTATCATGTGTGTGAATTTGGAGAAAATTTAATGAGCGGTTTTCCTGAAGAATGCAATTCTTGACCTTGAAATGGCAATGACAAGATTTATTAAAAAATCTTCAAAATGGCCGCCATTAAACAAGATGGCCCCCACCCAAAAGTCAATCAGCTCTAGAACTTGATATCTTTTATCATATGTGCGAATTTGACGAAAATTGGATGAGCAGTTTTCCTGAAATTGTGATGACAAAAAAAGGGGGACGATCACGATAACGCTGTCATCATGGCGACTAATCCCACCGATGGTGTGATAATAACAATAATGATCGTGCTGTCATCATGACAACTATATCCCACCGATGGTGTGATAAAAATTAAATTCCATTTTCAGGTTCTACAGTACAGGTTTTCTCTGCCAGAATAAGAGATAGAGGGCCAGACTACAGGAGCTTTGTTGAGCTACCCCTTGTACAGGATATGGATGGGAATGTTGCAGAATCAGTAGACCCTGAGGTCTTATCTGCTGCAGCAAGATGTTATGCAGAATCCTGCCCTAATAATCCAAACAATCAGAAAGAGCCTACTGACCTTGAGGTTGAGATACATCCTCCATGTACACATATAAAAAGTGCCATTAACTGTATAACAGAAGCTGAGCCACTGACCTTAAAAAACTCTATTTTAAATTCATTACAAGTTTCAAATGAAACAAAACAGGCTATATGGCTTCTTGCCACAGAGACAACTGGCCCATTAGTTCAAAGAGTCACTAAGAACGTTATGGTTGTAAAGTGTAAACCTAGTGGGAAGCATCCACTTGGATTCCTTCATTTCACATTTTACGAAACTAGTAGACAGCGATCTGTTCCTGAACACAAATTTCAATGCAGCTGTAGACAGTTCAAGGTTAGATTTTCAATTTTTTGAATATTCGTATCTTTTAATAAGTTTGTAAAGGAAAAGGAGGAGGGAAGTTAGCGCAACAGATTTTGACAGTCATATGTATGTTGGATTCTGGCCATTTCCTGGGGATTTAAACAGGTGCATATGTTAGGCCAATGCATTACCTCCACCCACATGTTTTTTCTGAAATGTTTGCCTGATTTTCAACCCCTTCCATCCCTGCTTTTTTAATTTTTATTGCATCAATATGTTGCGTTTTGACACACAGTTAATCCCTTAAAAGGAATAAGTGATTCCTTTTAGATAAAGTGGAAAACAATATTTCCCATGTTATTGGGAAATATTGCTTTCAGCTAAGTTTGGTCATCCATAATGGGTATCTTTAAAACCCCTGAAGGAATCACTTATTCCTTCAAAGTGATTAACTATGTGTCAAAACGCTACATATTGATGCAAGAAAAATTAAAAAAGCAGGGATGGAAGGGGTCAAAAATCTGGGAAAAATTTCAGAAAAAACATGTGGGTGGGTTGTTTGCATCTACCCTGTCTCAAAGTCGAAATTATTTTATCATCTCTAGAAGTGATTTTCCTGGAGGTAATGCATTGGCCTAACATATTACGTAATTGTTTAAATCCTCAGAAAATGGCCAAAATCCAACATAGTCCAAATCCGTTGCGCTATTTCCCTCCTCCTTTGTAGTTTTTTTAAACTCCATTTAATATTTTTAGACACTGCTTTTATTATTGTACAATATTTTACATGTTATTTGTCTAATTAAAGGGGCAACAAGGCCTGTAGAGAGAAAATTATTCGACATACCTATTTTCTTAAAATGTATGGATAAACTATCAATTCCAGTATTAAGAAGTGTAAATTCAGTTCAAAGCTTCTATAAAGGGAGTCCCACTTATAGATTTTTAAGATCCACTACGTTAGTCTTGATGAAATATCCAAACTTAAATATATTTTTACACTGGTCCATGATCGTTGAATGGACCCTCATCACTAATTGTTGCACTGTTAATATTAATGAGGAAACATTTGTTAGGATTTTCATTTGCTTTTCATTGCATCATTTAGAAAATATGGTCCCATTTAAAAAAATATTATTACCTCACATTCGTTAACTTAAAATATTTATGCTATCAAGTGTATCAAATTCTGTTTTAATTTTCAGGTTTATAAAACAGATGTTACAAAAGAAGAGTGTCAGAAGAGATGTGTACATTTTTATGCCTGCATCTGTGCTTTTGCTAGTGAGGAAAAATTGGCTCAAGAATTTGAGTTTTACATCAATTTAGACTCCTCAGGTGATTTAATTAAAAATTATTACTCTGTATGTTTAGAATGATTCTCTAAGATCAAAACAAATTACCAATTACTGTTACATATTTATTGTCATTTTGAAGCAAAGGAAGATCTTCTAAAGCATCCTTGCATTAGATTTTGAGGGTTTTATTTCATTCGTTTAGTTTTTATGTCACCACCATAAGTGATGACTTGTCAGCTTGCTGTTATAGTCTCCAACATTTTTGTTGTCGGCCATTGGTGTTTGGCATCTGTAATACATGGCAGGTAGTTACATTTTGCATGTTAATTATGGTGATAAATTAGCTCAATTAAAATATGTTCCAATTGACAAACAAAGCTACAGTAAATGTTAATTTAGGGTTAAAAACATTCAGTCTAATGTGTAAAATGTTAGGTCTTAGTCATATGTTATATATTGGTCACTCTTTAGCTCCAGAGAGACGCTTGCTGTCTATCTACACAACAGCAGCCAGCCAGGACAATACTAATGTTGGGGATGAAGGAGAGGAAGTTGCAATCATCATAGATCAGGATAATAGTGACACACCTGCACCTGAACCTGCGAAAAAACGCAAGAAAGACGATAGCGTAGGTAAGGTGTACACTGGGAATTATTTTTCAAAGAAGCATTTCAAAAATAATTGAACATATTTTTGAGAGGTTAAGGAATTAAAGTACAAATAAAACATTTCATGTTGAGTTGAAAGTGGTGTATGTTATAAAAATATTTTTGATATTTCAAGTCCAAGCCAGTAATGCCCTCTTGACCTTACAAGACAGTTTGAACACACCAACAAAGGAGTACAGCCCTCTGAAACACAAACCTACCACACCAGGGAGCACCAACAAAACACAGTTAACTCCAGCCAAAAAGAGTTTAGGTATGTCAGCTAAAGGATTAATCCAGTAGCTTCACCTGGAGGCAGTTAGAAAGGAGACATAAGAAATCAAAATTTCTAAATTTATACAACAATCATGGTAATACGAGGGGTGATCAATAACACGGGATGTCATCGCCTGATTTGGTCAATGTTAGGGAGCAGGTCGTTTTTACAATAAATTTCAATATTTTCACACAAAATATTTTTTTACTGAAAAACTGCTCATTCGCAGAGAAAATGTACTAGCACATGCAATGACAATGTCAATCACGCTTCTGTACTAAATTCGGCGGAAGTCTTTTATAATCTAATACGAAGTTACTAAAAAAGGCGCGAACGCCCTACACTCAAAATGATCGTTTTTCCATTATAACTTTTTAACGTAATTTAACGAAGGCTTCTAATTATTATCCAAGATAGTCTAAATACCGATTAAAATATTTCTTACTTCAAACAGATACGCCGTCTTTTATTCAATTTTTTAAAAAATAATAAAAAATAACTCTTGTCAATGTTAGGGAGCAGTCAATGTTAGGGAGCAAAATGATTTTATCAGAATATTAAAAATGTAGCAAATGGCCATTTAAAATATGAATGGCATTTATAAACTGAACAATTTTGTTTGTATGATTATTTGATACCCTTTGGGGAGGAAAGCGTTAAAATTGTAAGAAAATCATTGAAAAGGTTATTTTGCATTTTTTATTTTCAGCTAAATCCTGTTTACGTTCGTTTTAGAAATATTTAGATGCGAACCATTCCTTCTTTATTCGTTGACCTCTAACTGTAAATGAATGGACCGGGTGTATCGTTATATACACTTTTTGATGATGTCATCAGTTCACAATCCTAAATTGTGGATGATAAATTATCTGAACTGATATATAGGCTTGAGAAATCTCCGACATCCTTCAGTTCTATGATTTGATATTTTCCTAGTATTAAAGTAAGAGAGTTAGTCTCGCACTTATCTTTACGACCGGGTATCACCTGATAGCTGGCACAAACGCTATGAAGGGCTCATTGCGCAGTTACATGTATGATAGTAGATTTTTACACGTATACTTCAATTTGTCAATACTCAGACAATGCAGTATATAACCGATCTCTGTTATATGTGTACCACTTGCTAATGATACTCTAAAGCCCGGTATACACCAATGGGACAAGTTTTATTATTCTAACATTTCTAAAATATGATTGGACAAAGTTTTAGACTTTCTTTAAGTGTTACCGGTCTATTTCAAAACAATAATTTATATACAAAGATGAGCTCATTTATTTAAATACAATATCATGAATAAAGGGAGATGTCATGTAATTATTGTATCTGGTTAAATTGTGTATATTGTGCTGAGCAATACTGTATGCTTGTAAGGTTTATACCAAGGGGTATAAAACAATCATACAATCTTGTCTAGTTTATAAATGACATACATGTTTGTAAAGGCCAATTACTCTGATATTCTGATAAAACCATTTCGCCCCACTGCATTGTTTGCTCCGCCACATTGATCATACTTATTTTTTATTATTTAAAAAAAATTAAAGAAAGGTGTACCTGTTTGAAGTAAGAAATATTTCAATATGTACTGAGATTATCCATGATAATAATTAACTTTCCTTCGTCAAAAATCTTTGAGAGTCCATTTTCTGAAGATAACAAAAATGCAAAACAATTTTTTTTATCGATTTTGTTAAATTTTGTTAAGGCAAGGGGTTTAAAATAATCATTCAAACAATATTGTTTAGTTTATAAATGCCATACATATTTTAAATGGCCATTTGCTACATTTTTAATATTCTGATAAAATCATTTTGCTCCCTAACATTGACTGCTCCCTAACATTGACAAGAGTTATTTTTTATTATTTTTTAAAAAATTGAATAAAAGACGGCGTATCTGTTTGAAGTAAGAAATATTTTAATCGGTATTTAGACTATCTTGGATAATAATTAGAAGCCTTCGTTAAATTACGTTAAAAAGTTATAATGGAAAAACGATCATTTTGAGTGTAGGGCGTTCGCGCCTTTTTTAGTAACTTCGTATTAGATTATAAAAGACTTCCGCCGAATTTCGTACAGAAGCGTGATTGACATTGTCATTGCATGTGCTAGTACATTTTCTCTGCGAATGAGCAGTTTTTCAGTAAAAAAATATTTTGTGTGAAAATATTGAAATTTATTGTAAAAACGACCTGCTCCCTAACATTGACCAAATCAGGCGATGACATCCCGTGAATAAGTAATTGACTCTTTTTTACACCAATGCTTTTTATAGACCAATCTCTTAGATTTTCTTACCAGTGATACATCATTCAATTATCTATCAACTCTGAGGATTTGAAAACAAAATATGCAATAAATTTTTATATATCTTTATTTCTGTGAAGGGACTGACATGACGTCAAACATTCTGAAGCTATTTTAGCTTGTTTAACATGCAATGCAGTTGAATGCAGACTGAACAAAACAAACCATTATGGTCATGAATTACCCCATTTTGTTATGCCATAGTTGATTTCGAATATTATATCATCACTATGTGGTATTGATCATGCCACTTTCATTCTACAGGGCCCTCTACATAGGTTCCATCAAGTGCTACATGTACACAATTCCTCATCCTCTTAACTCGGCATTCTCTGACATGGTAGCAAGATGCAGTTGCATGGGTTGTTTTATTCCATCAATGTCAATAAACCTGCATCCTTTCTCTATAGAAATAAGTAGTATAGAAATTAATAAGTCAAATGTGACCAGATCCGGACAATATAGTCTAATATGGTGAATTGGCCAAGAGCTCAATTTTGAGGTCCAGGAATATTGTTTTCTGAATATTTTGAGATCTGTGGGCAGGTGCATTGTCCATATGGAGTAGGGTGTTCCCTTCTCTCACCACCTCTTTCTTCCACAATGCTTTCTCAAATTGACCTGCAAACCCCTTCCATACAACACTCTGATATCACAATACTTTCTGTTTATGTGTTACCAGTCAGCAAAATATTTCAAACAACACAACACTTGTTGCATATGAAAAGTTCAAATCTAACTGAAAGGATGAGTCTGGATATATGCCCTTTTGGTCCCTCAGTTAAATGTATGTGAAATATGATTTGTATAACTGTCCTAGTTATATGTGTTAAGTATATTTACTTTTTCATGAGTTTTGATGCATAATTAACCCCCTGCTGAGAGTCAAAGTAAGTATCCTCACAGAAAACAAATAATCATTATCATAGAAAAAACACGTGACAGTCTAATTGTAACATGTATGATATGTAAAATAGAAATAACTTAAAAGACCCATGAAGAATTTTTTTAAAAAATCATATTTTTTAAATATATTTTAGGATTTAGTTTTTTTCAAATTTTTGAATTTCCCGCCAGTTTAATTTGAAGTGGGAAAAGCAAGATGGCTGCCATTTGGTATAAGAAATATCAGAAAAAAGTAGTTTCACTTTTAGTTTTCACAATGAGCACAGTTTTCCAGTTTGGGTTTTTTGAATGATTCTGAGACTTCATCACCAGGGTCTTGTATAGAGATTATAAAATTGAAACCAAATGTTGTGCTCAGCATGAATTTGACTGAAATATGTATAATTTCACCAACACAAGTGAAGTGTCAAAACTGGATGCTCAGTAACTTTGAGTGACTATAATCCCTTGATTACTCAGATAAACACCAATTCACTTATCAAGAAATACCATTCAATGTCTATACAAAGAAAGTAAGCAATGTTTTGGAGGATATGTTTCAAACTTTTTCTGTAAATTATTCATTTAGTATTTGCACTTGAGTTTATTTTCAGTTGTGGCCTAGTCATATGCATTCTCTTTGATGCCAATATTCTTCATTAATTGTGATACAAATTGATATTTTTGTACTCTCAGAAGAAGGATAAGATATTGAAGTTAAATAATATGTGTGATTGAGTTGGTTTTTCAGACATTACAATTTTCAATATTTTCTAAGTCGATATCCAGACTCATTCCCAGACTCATCCTTTGCCGAACTAGCTAAAAACTGAATATGTGACGTAAATGTCGGTCCCGGGGTACCTGTACCTCCTTCATGGAAATAAGGATATATCAACATGTATTATATGTTTTGTTTTCAAATCTTCAGAATTGATAGATAATTGAATGATGTATCACTGGTAGGAAAATCAAAGGAATTGGTCTATAGATAGTACCTGTGTAAAAAAGCGTCCATTACTTATTGATCACCCCTTGTATAATAAATCATAAAAGTGTCAAAGGTAATACTCCTATTCGCGATAAGAGTTCAGGTGGTAATTTACATAAATATCTCCCATGATGCATCGCTTTGGAAGGGACAAATTTTCATTGGCCCGCCGAACGAGTCGATTACTCTGAACGTTTCTCAGCTTCTGATCTTCAATCAGCCCTCAAGCATAGTTATATAATCCAATCTATTCAATAATCAGGAAGATAATCGGAGATTCAAAGTAACATTATTTATGTTTTTTCGATCTTCGATGGCGTCTGAGCAATTTCTGGGATATCAGTGACGTCACTGGAATTGGACGGCATTTTCAACTACAGATTTCTTTGGATTTGGGGATTATAGTTCAAAAAGCTTTGTCATATATCTTAATTACATACATACCTATCATCTGTGCAAATGAAACTCTACATAAAAGTTTATGGATGTAGACAAAGTTGTACCATACATGAGAGCTCTTCATACGGGAGGTAGCTAAACTGACCGAAATTAAACGTTATCGCGTATTGGTATATTGGATAAATATCTGTAATTTTGAAAATTAGTCTCAGGAATTAGGCTAGGAAAGATGTATTAAAGTGCTAATTCGGAAATTTCCATTTATTTTTCTTTACACAAATAGATACAATGGGTATTGGTTGGTAGAAACAGTATACCAACAGACTCACATCTTCATCTGATTGTCTTTCAGTGCCAAAATAAGATTTCCCGGAAAAAAACATGACGTCACAATCAGAACCGGTTATGGATT